AAATTACATTTGCTTTTTTAGCTGTCACATAATTTAACTCATATTTGAGCTCAAAGGAAAAAAATACCTTTACAGTTTAAAAAAGAAAATCATCCCATCTGCTTCTGGAATTACATTACCATGCTCCCTGCAACCATCCAGAAAGCACTTTTAATCCAAGTTGAACCAACAACATGGACTACTTTTTTGGAATACCACCATTTGTCTGTTGCTGTAATTTCCAAATGACATGTTTTACTTGCCATAACTACCTCCCAAGCCAAGACATGGTCCCACTGCCCAAAACTGGAATTTATTTACAAGTTCCCTTACATGCAGCCCGGTTAATTAAGCCTTGCTTGCCATATACCAGTATGTGACATATATGTGACATATATGTGTCATCCTCACTAAGTGTGATATCTACATGTTAATATTTGTACATTGTCATTTATCCACCCAAACATATTTATTTAGTATCCAATATGTTCCAGATACTGAACTAGTTATTGAGTGCAGAGTCATGAGCAAGACAGACATGGCCTTTACTTCTGGATCTTGTATTTTAGTGGGGAAGACAGATAATCAATAAGAAAATAAATTGATACCTGTTATGATGGAAATAAATGGAGTGCTGTGGAATAGCAGAGGTCACCTTTAGGCTGACACCTGAAGATAAAAAGAAAATAAAAGAGAGGGAAGAATATATCAGAAAACAGCAAATAAATATTCTGAACTGGGGAAAACTTGAAGTATTTTAAAAATATCAGAAAAATCTATAGACTGTATAGTTGAATCCCGATAACTGATGGATAGTGTTGAAAATGAGGTAGGATATTTGGAGACCAGATTATAATGGGGTTTACAGTGAATTTATTAGGAAGGATCAAAGCATAATGCAAAAGAATAGCATCTATGAAAATGGATACAAGCAGAAGTGTGTGTGCATGCGTGTACGTGTGTGCCTGGAGAGTTTTGAGAAATTCACAATTCCAGAGTGAATACGTATAGACATAGCGAAAAATGATTAGAATATGGTTATAACAAGCTGAAACATAATCAATGATATCGAAGCCTGTCTGAAGAAGTAATCTGTTAACAAGTCTGAGATATTCCTTAAAGGTACCTCTCCAGCTATCTATTAGTATGTGCATAGAAAGGCTGGGGGGGAAGGAAGGGTGCTCCATATCATCTTGTCACTGATTCAACAAGAATAGTTCAGCCCTAACCGGTTTGGCTCAGTGGATAGAGCGTCGGCCTGTGGACTGCAGGGTCCCAGGTTCCATTCCGGTCAAGGACATGTACCTTGGTTGTGGGCACATCCCCAGTAGGTGGTGTGCAGGAGGCAGCTGATCGATGTTTCTCTCTCATCGATGTTTCTAACTCTCTATCTCTCTCCCTTCCTCTCTGTAAAAAGTCAATAAAATATATTTAAAAACAAAAAAGAATAGTTCATTATCTGTTTAATATATTGGACATCCATTTTAAGAAAGTTTTAAAAAATCTTCGAAAACTGCTTCAAAAACAGTAGTTATCTGTATATTTATAAATGTATATAATATATAATATATATGGAGAATATATATAAAATCCTGTAATACTCTTTGTAATACTTTAAGCAATAAAACAAAATTTTTTAAAAAAATCCTGTGTTGACCTCCCATTTCACTAAGAGTGAAAGCCCAGTTCCTCCAATAGCCTACAAACCCTGCACTTCCATGCTGTTTCTGCCACAGTCTTCCTTGCGGTTCCTCAGTACCTTTCTGCCTTAGGACCTTGGTACTGACTGTTCCCTCTGCCTGGAACTCTTTTCTCCCAAATTGGCTGAATGATTAATTCCTTTACCTCCTTAACGTTTTGCTCAAATGTCATCTTCTCAATGAGACCTGCCCTGAGCATTCTATTTTAAAACCTGTACTTCCAATGCTCCTTCCCCTGATTTACTACTTTTTCTACAGGATTTATCATCTTCTAATATAATATATCACTTACTTACTATGATTATTGCTCATGTCTGTCTCCAGACATGGCCAGTATGTAAGGTCCCTGAGGCAGGAATCTTGGTGTATTTTTTTACCTAACATCTGAAACAGTGCCTAACCCTCAACAAATATTTGCTGAATAAATTCATTAATTGAAACAACTGTATTTGGAAATTTGACCACTCTATGTCTGCCAATAAGCAAATGTGATACCTAAAGTGAGTAGGATCAAAGTTAAATATTTACACAGATATGGTGGCTTTTCCAATGGAGGAGAGCAAAAACTAAACCAATAATATATTTCTAGTTTTGAAATTCTCCTTTGGTTCTGTCATTAATAAAATAAAAAGGAGTTACTGTTTAATAATTAAAAAGTATCAATCACTCTTTCTCAAAGAAATGTCCACATTGCATTAAAATATGGGTATCAAACCAACCTAGAATGCAGCGACAAGAAATACCATTTATTTAGCATCAATTAAACTGTCAATTTTTCTCGGTTATAATCCTGACACGTTCCCTGACAATAGTATTCTCAGGCATTACCACAGAATGGGACTCTAAGAAGCTTGTAAGTTTGAATCTTTACAAGCAGTCATGACAAAGTACCTGAAATAAGCACACTGACCTACTCCATGTGAGCATTACCACATATCTTTAAACTGTATTTTCGACAATCAAAATGAATTTGTTCTAAAATATCCTCATATTATTTCCAAATCCTTTATGTAAACAAAGAAAAACATGGGGAAAATGGCTGGCTGAGAATGGCACTGCAGGTGGCCGCTGCGTGTAGTCAAGCATTGCACATCTCTGGAAGCGTCATGTATGTTGTTCATGGTACATGGATTATGATGTAAATGCACCAACAACTGACCCATTCCCTGCCCTGGCGTTGTACAGTGATCTTTTCTCTTGGAAAAATTAATTCAAAATTACTGAGCTAATCAATCCTAGACAGTGAAATATGAACTGATTTACATTAAAATAGTATCCTCAAGACATTTACAAGTAACTAAAAAATGGAGGTGTAAGAGACACAACTATCTTAAAATGATTCTATATGGTAAGTTACAAATCCTTGTTTAGTTGGCAGTAGGTTTTCTGGTAAACCTTAGAAAATTTTATACCTACATGATCTTATGGCACCCTCAAGTGGATAAATATTAAACTGACAATTTTTTCTCGAGGTCTGTGATATGAAAAATAAAAAGACAAGGTGGTGGAATCCCTTCAAACAAAGACTACTGGATAAAGATATACCAACCCTTATCAGAAGAGCTCATAGTTTAAGTTATTTCTTTAAAAATGAATATGGATTTTTGGCTGATCTAGCTGTATTTTCCATTTAGTATTCTTCATTCTTCCTTGCGTAAACTCTGGGTGACCCTGAATAAGAACTTTAAACAGAATACAGATAACTACTTTAAATGGTTAGCAAATGTGTAATCTAAACATCTTGCACTATGTACTTAGGAATGAAATCAGGTGTACCTGTTTTAAGAAAATGTTCAAGAATATCTTTAGATGTTAACATAATAATAGATATTTTTATTGACGAGAATTGTTGTTCCATTTATTTATGCATTCAATGGTTGATTCTTGTATGTGCCCTGACCAGGTAAGTTATTACAACCTTGGCATATTGGGACGACGTTCTAACCAAATGAGCTATCCAACAAATTTATATTGAAATAAAACTTACTCTCAAAATTAAAGTCTTTCTATACCAGGGGTGGGGAACATCCGGCCTGTGGCCGGTATAAGGCCCTCGAAATCATTTGGTCTGGCCCTGACAAGACCTTAGGGGTGAGTTAATCAAATGTTTGACCAAATATAACAGGCTAATTTTTAAGTTGATAATTCTGTGTGGCCCGGGAATGATGTTACAAATATCCAAATGGCCCTTGGCAGAAAAAAGGTTCTCCACCCCTATTCTATACAATAAATTTACTCTCCAGCAACTCTGCTTGTGAAGAGTCTGTTAAGATCAAGTTGGAATCCTAACTCTGCCACTTACCAGCTACATGACACTGATCAATTTACTGAGATTCTCTGGGCCTGTTTCCTCAATGTCTTAAATGAGAGTATATGAGATACAGTGGTTAGGTTCTTGAGTGAGTAGGTCACAATTACCTTTAAAAATCAGTTGAATTACAAAAAAAGAAAAGAAAAAAAACAACTTATTTACTTTAGTGTACACAACACCATAAGTCAGTGGTTCTCAACCTTGGCTGCACATTAGAATCACCCGGGAATCTTTTTAAAATCCTGATTTCTGGGCCTCATTCTTCGGAAATTCTGTTTCTTTGTTACTAATGTTGTGGCCCCACCCCATAACAAAGAAACAGAATTTCCGGAGGATGAGGCCCAGAAATCAGGATTTTAAAAAGATTCCCGGGTGATTCTAATGTGCAGCCCAGGTTGAGAACCACTGCCATTAAGTAAATCTTCTGGTCACTACATTTTGAGAAATCACTTAGATAAAATGCAAAACAAAGCATGTGTGCATGTGTAGGCATTAAAGTCATTCTGGTTTTAAGTTAACGCTAAAATAGCTAACAGTGAATGGGCTGTGGATGGAGGACACAATCTCAGTGCTTAATAAAACTGCTTTTCTTTCTTCTGCCCTGTAGCCTATCGGAGAGCTCCCAGCGCAGTCGCGTTAGTGTGGTTACGCCTGAGCCGTAGGTAGTGATTGATCCAGCGAGTACTGGAGGGGAAGAACCTTTGTAACTCTTTTGGAGTTCTCACCTGTTTGGGGCACTTGCACTCTTAGACGCGTCTCCACTAAATTAACGGACGAATTATTACTTAGCCGAGATTAGAGCTCGGGCCATTGCGGTGTGAGAATAACAGCACGGAATTTTTAAAAAGTACACTTGTCACACACAGCACTACCTCGGAGCCGCAGCCAGCCCTTCGCTCCGGAAATGCTCGGCCCAATCCTTCCGGCTCCCGTAGTCGCGCTCAATTCCGCGAGACCGACGCTTAGGCGCCGGCACTCGGGCGACTGCGAAGTACTTCCGGGTGGCAACTCCGAGGGCCTGTGACGCGTGCTTCCGGCGGCTTCCGGGCCGCTGGCTCGGCCTCTGGGACCACGGGGCGCGAGTAGTGGGCGCGGGGGTCGTGGAGCCCTGCACGCTCCAGCCATGGACCGCGACCTTCTGCGGCAGTCGCTGAATTACCACGGGCCGTCCTTGCTGTCCTGGCTCCGTAGCGAACAGCAGGACAACCCGCACTTCCGGAGCCTCCTGGGGTCGGCGGCCGAGCCTGCCCGGGGCCCGCCGTCCCAGCCGCCGGGGCCAGGCAGGTAAGGAAATCGCGGCGACGCTCCCAGGCGGGGGAGGGGACCCAGCCCGGGGCTCCGCGGCCGCAGCAGCCGGGCCGCCGAGTCCAGAAGGAGCGGAGCCGTGGAGACTGCGCTGGGTGGCGGAGGGTCCGATGGCGGATGGCCGGCGCGTCTGGAGTCCTCGAGGGTCCCGCGGAAGGCGGGCTGAACTTGTATTTCCCTGGAAATTGCCCAGCAGAGGCGCGGGTTCTTGAGCTAAAATCCCTCGGGCTTTCGGATCTGGGGCTGCGGGCATCGCTCTTGACGCTTCCCCGCCCTCCAGCAACCGACTGGCCGGCGAGGGTTCAAACTTTCTCTCGGAGGATGTGTGGGCTGGAATTTAGGAAGGACCCGCTTGGCCGATGCAAGCCTGGAGCAGAGGCTTGGACGTGCTAAAAGGTTTTGCAGATAAGTTAGTCTCCATAAATTCTGTTGTCGTTGTTTTAAGGAAAGAGAAGAGAGTCGACAACGCTGAAATCCAAAAATTCATTTCCAAAAAGGCGGATCTGCTTTTTGCACTTTCGTGGAAATCAGATGCACCTACAACTTCTGAAGTTCATGAAGACGGTGAAGGTGAGCCGAGTCTTAAAAATCTTTTGATTGCGGTTATTTTTTTAACAGTGCTTCATTCAGATAAAACAGAACACAAAAACCAGGGTTCGTGATTTTGTAAATTATCTTTTTCAGATTCTTATGCAGTCATGCCACCTTTAGAGCAGTTCATGGACATACCTAGTATGGATCGGAGAGAGCTGTTTTTCCGAGATATTGAGCGTGGAGATATCGTGATTGGAAGAATTAGTTCCATTCGGGAATTTGGGTTTTTCATGGTGTTGATTTGTTTGGGCAGTGGCATCATGAGAGATATATCTCACTTGGAAATCACAGTAAGTTACTCACTTTTCAGTTAACTTGATTGCTTCTGTTTTTGAGTCGCTTCGGTGAAAGAATTATTGTTTTGCATATGTGGAATTTTTTTTTTTTTTAATATCATTGATCGGCTGCCTCCTGCACGCCCCCTACAGGGGATCGAGCCCACAACACAGGTATGTGCCCTTGACCCGAATCGAACCCGGAACCTTTCAGTCCACAGGCGGATTCTCTATCCGCTGAGCCAAACCGGCTAGGGCTGCATATGTGGAATTTAATGAACAAGCTGATCTACCAAACAAAATATAGACAGACTCAGAGAGAGCAAGCAGACAGCTCTGATGGAGGGCCAGAGGACTGGATTGATTGAGGAGGACGGGAGAGAACGAGCGAGAGAACTCAGTGTGGTGATTGGGGGTGGGGGTGGAGGGAAGGGGGCATAGAGGGGATAAATGGTGATGGGAAAAAGAAGAGAAAGAACCTGAAAGCAATAATAAAAAGAATTAGGTCTTTGCATCCAGTTGTGCTTAAGTGTACCCTGCTGACAGTTTTGAGAATTAAATATTTTAATTGGAGAAAAAGCACCATTTTCTTTTTTAAAAATTCTTAGCAGTGAAAGAGTTACTCCTCCATTTCTGGTTTTGGGATTTTTTTGGTCTCCTTGGTTGGCAGGGGTGGGGTCCTTTTTCAAATGTTACAACAGATGTCGATGGGTATGGTGAGATTGATTGGTATTTGGGCTTATTTTTTTCTAGCTGAACATGTTCTTAGTATTTGGCATTATGTACTTGCATATGGATAATTTAGAAAAATATTCCTGGCCTTTTTATGTCTTTGCAGTAATTGATTGTGATGTATATATTATGAGATACTTTGCCTGAGATAACTAGTCCTGAATTTGAAATAATGTGTCACTTTAAAAGGTTTGATATTTGCTGTCTATCAAGGCAGATGAAAATGAAGAAAAGCAGGAGATATCACAGACTGAATGGCAGACATACACTTTGGAGAATTCACATTTCATTTTCATTGGAATTCTCACACTGCACAAATTTTCGTTTCATTTTTAACAAGTGCAAAATATCTTTTTGCTTTATCATCCACACTCATATTTGGTTCCTAAAACTAATTGCAAATTTTACGAGATTTTAGATTTTGAACTGACTCAAAAAACTTGTTTAATAGTGTTTGGATACAGAAATGACTTAAAATTTAAATCCTTACTTAAATTTAGATTTTAAGATGCTAGTTGATTTTTTTTTAAGGTTATATCAACTATTAGCCATTTATACTGAACAAGTAGGATAAAAGAAGACCTTTTTCACCAATGAATAGGAAGTCTGTTGTTTTAAAATACTTCTCATTGCAGGCTTTTTGTCCATTAAGAGACGTGCCTTCTCACAGTAACCATGGGGATCCTTTATCGTATTACCAAACTGGTGATATCATTCGAGGTGATCAATTTCATCATACTAATAGAAAAGTAACATTTGTGAGATTTTATAAATTAATTTTGAAAATGTAGTTTAATAAGAATAGTTTTTGAAAGGATTTTTGTTTGTTTGCATTTTCTTGCTAATCAGCTTAGTTTTCTTATTTTTTAAGCTGGAATCAAGGATATTGACAGATATCATGAAAAGCTTGCAGTATCTCTGTATAGCTCATCTCTTCCACCGCACCTATCTGGTATTAAATTAGGTGTAATTAGTTCTGAAGAGCTTCCTTTGTATTACAGGTAATTTTTCTACATTAAACAGTTTCTTGACTTAAAAAATAGCAAATTTTGTCCAACTTCTAACAACAAAGTAAAATTTCAATTTCTCTTATTTCAAAGTATGCTCATTATATTTTTATACCCTTAAATTTCTTCAGACTTGATAAAAGGAACCCAGTCATGATATTGCCACACTTTCATGTACAAATTATAGTATGAGTATTTAAACCCCATGCGATAATTTTCTCTTTAACAGAAGTGGACATGCTAATTATTTTTTGTTTTCATTTTTTGTTTTTCTTAAGGAGGAGTGTTGAACTAAATAGCAATTCTTTGGAATCCTATGACAATATTATGCAAAGTTCCTTGGGATTTGCTAACCCAGGAGTAGTTGAATTCCTCCTAGGAAAATTAGGAATAGATGAATCTAATCCACCATCTTTAATGAGAGGCCTACAAAGGTATAGTAAATCAGTATTATTTATTAAGTGATAAGGTATTGAATGGTGTGGAGCTCCAAAGTGGCATAATTGAGGGACATATTCAACTATACTAAGCCTAGTGGCAGCAGTATGACAAAGGTTCAATGAACTAGGTGATCCTGCCTCCTTCTGAAACTAAGTCTCTTACCAGTAATTAGAATTGTACCAGGTGACCAAATAGAGAAAGATTTAGAACATTTATAAGAATTTTATGTATACCCTAAAGAAAAATAATGTCTAAGAATAATGGTCATTCCTGAGAGTTCAGGAAATTTATTTTGTAAATGGAATACAAGTTTCTTGCTTGGGATTCACTTTTTCAGTGTTGAGTTTTTGTTATCTGTCAGGCAGTGAACTATAATTACAAAAAAGTATTTATACGGTTTGAATTTTTTTTCTTAATAGCAAAAATTTCTCTGAAGACGATTTTGCTTCTGCATTAAGAAAGAAACAGTCTGCATCTTGGGCTTTAAAATGGTATGAAGATTTTGTCTTTCAACAATTGAATTACCTGGCATAAAAGGTTAGGGTAAGGCAAAGAGTTCTTATGTCATCATTAAGACCAAGTTTGTTTATAAATGAATTAAAGTGAGTTTTTGACATTAGCTTTCTTATAGGTGTAAATGGTATTATGTTGTAAACTTAACAGACTTAAGTTTTAGCCAACATCATAATTTTTTTTTTCAAAAGGAATTAGTATATTGATATCTAGATTTCCTAAAATTTGTTACAAAACTATCCAATGGCAGAATGCTTTTAGGTATTTGGAGAGTATGGAAGGCTAAATATTAGCCAAATTTGATTTGCTTTAAAATTTTACCCGTGCTAACATTTTGTTTTGATATTCTGTAAAATGCTTGTGATACTTTATAACTATCTTTTTAGTGTGAAGATTGGAGTTGATTATTTTAAAGTTGGGCGCCACGTGGATGCTATGAATGAATACAATAAGGCTCTGGAAATAGACAAACAAAATGTGGAAGCTTTGGTAGCTCGTGGAGCATTGTAAGTGGATTGTGGGTTTTAAGGAATATTTACAAGGTGAATGTGCACAAGATTTATACATAGCCCACAAGATAAATTTCTTACTTTGTTTCCTATCTCCAGATATGCAACAAAAGGAAGTCTGAACAAAGCAATTGAAGATTTTGAACTTGCATTGGAAAACTGTCCAACTCACAGGAATGCAAGAAAATACCTGTGCCAGACACTTGTAGAAAGAGGAGGGCAGTAAGTGTCAGACTTTGTTCTGTAGTATAGGTCCACTATTCAACCAACTACTATAAGATCTTGAACTTAATATAAGGAAATAGCATCTTTAACTTAATTCAGACCATTCTTAGTTTCGATTTTGGTTGACAATGTTTTTTAAGTATAGTCCTCTTTAAATTTTCTAGTCATTTTTTTCTTATAACTGGGGTTCTAATTGGATATATTTTAATGATTTGAGTTTCTTTTCCTAAATGCCTATTCTCATTACATAGAAATGTAAATTAAATGTAAAGGTACAAGAAATTAGGTAAATATTCTTTTCCTGGACATACACTAGAAATTTTAATAGAGAGAATTTAATATCTAATTCATTTCATCATTTTAGTAGAAAAATACCAGAAATATGAATTGAGAGCTCCTGTTGTTAATTATGAATAAGGTTTCACTGTTATATTCAGTTTTTTGCTCTACTCTGTATAATAAAATCCACAAACTCCAGATTAAATGGAAGAACAAATTATTTTAAAAAAACTATATATTATGTTACTCTTCTGAATTGCATTGTAAATATTTAATGACTAATAGACTGGTCTAATTTATAAAATATTTTGAAGGAATATATTTTAAGTATAAGTAATTTGCTAACAACTCTAGTAATTTTAAAAGTTTATAATAGCATTTTTTGCGATTTTTAAAATAGAATTATCTGTTTTCTCTTTCATGAATTTGCCTGATCATTCCAGTTTGTATGATCATACCAGAATTCCAAATTGAGATTTTTACAGTATTTGTTAACTCATGTGAACTTCTGCTTAGATCCAAGTGATTGGAGCAGCTTTTTACTTTATGACTAGGTAGATAGCTAGTACCTACTTAGGTGTGGTTATCTTATTACCCTTATGTTGGTGTCTTTTTACTAAGTGAATGGCAATACCACCTATCCAGTTACCATAAGCCATAATGTTGATCATTTTTGACTGGTGCCTTCCCACATTCCATCTGTCACAAAAGTTATCCCATTGAAGCCATTGGGATTTTCTTAATTTTTTTCACAGTAATTACTTTTTCCTACTTTGAAAACTGAAAATATTTTGCAAAGTCCTTTCACTGCTTTATAACCAAATTTTCTAATTGTGATTTTTCATAGCATAGACTTTTGAGCGTCATCTGATAATGATCCTATCTACAGGCTAGTTGTGATATGTTACATGTATGTGTTGGTATTTCCAACTTAACAGTAAATATTCTGGGAAAATATTTCTGTGGAAAGGAAAATTCTTCATAAACTGCTAGCAAAAGCCAATGTAATTCTGTGGTAAAGGTCAAGATCGTACTATATTTACAGAGGGCATCAGTTGATCATGCATTATACTAAAATGCCATTGCTGGGCCCGCAGCATGGATTTAGTTACCAGTAATGGATTCCTATTTGTTTGTTTTACTTAGGGGTTTATTTTGTTTTTCAAACAAATATAACTCACTTAATATGTTACTTTCAGGTGTACAGAGTAATGGTTTAAAATATAGGGTGGGGCAAAGGTAGGTTGACAGTTGTGAGTACACAAAAGTTATTTGTGCATTATTATTTGTTAATTACTTTTATATGAATGACTGTAAACCTACTTTTGCCCCGCCTTGTATGTACATATTGCAAAGTAATTAGCACAATAAGTCTGGTTAACATCCATCACCACACATAATTACAAATATTTTGTTTAATTGTGGTGAGAACTATTAAGATTTATCTTAACAGCTTTTAAATATACAATACAGTTTTATAAACTATAGTCACCATGTTGTACATTTTCAAGACTTAATCTCATAACCGAAAATTTATACCTTTTGACCACTTTCATCCATTTCACTCACCCCCCAACCCCACCCCTAGCAACCACCAGTCTGGTCCCTATATCTGTGAGTTTGGTTTCGTTTTGTTCTGTTCTATATGGTTTTACATGGTCTCTTTACCAAAAGAATAGTAAAAAACTATGGTTTAGGTATTATTCAATTTGGAAAGTAAGTTGCTAAACACATTTTTTTCCTAATAAGTTCTCTCTTATAAGCCCTAGACCTGTATGCATACTTGAGGACTTTTTATTTTTACAAAAAAGCTAAATCTTCTTCTCAAATTTAGGTTAGAAGAAGAAGAAAAATTTTTAAATGCTGAAAGTTACTATAAGAAAGCTTTGGATTTGGATGAGACTTTTAAAGATGCAGAGGATGCTTTGCAGAAACTTCATAAATATATGCAGGTGATTCTTTACTTCCTCTTAGAAATTTAGTGATATTTGAAACTAATGCCAAAACTTAGCTTTCTTCTGTGGAAAATTATTCTAGATTACTTACGGCATTATGAAAAGTCTCTTTCTAAATACAGCTTTTCCTAATTGGGTTTGACATTGCTTCATAATGCCTCTTCTTTTTTTATTTGTTAGTACTCAAAAGTAAAAATAACTCTATAAGAAAATTCTAATTGCCTAAATTTGGTGTGTGGTTTTGAGTACTGTCCTTGTAGTGAGCTTTCCTGGTGGTTACAAAATTCAGTGATGTTACGGTAATTGAGCTAATTCTAAAAATCTTTTTGAGAGATATTTTAAACTGTCTTTTCCTGTAATACTGATGATGATGTTTTCTCATGCATTTTTTTCTGAATTGGACCGTTGCTGCTGTGTCTGTGACATCTGGTGCTGCTCATCCCCATCCTCAAACTGGAAAATGATTTCTTATGTAATCATGCGTCCAACTGGGCTGTGCTATTTTTTAAATGGTTTGTATTTGAACATGGTGATTCCTCCCTCAATTCACCTAAATGGAATGTATTTGAACTTTATTTCTACAATCTGTGTCCTGTTTAAATTTTGAAATAACTTTTATTTTTTCCCTGTCTTGCACTCTGGGTTAATGGTACCAATGCAATGGCTTCCCCTTTTTTCATGGATTACCAACTGCAATATGGTCCTCAATACTGTTCTGGCTATTCCAATGATTGATGCCAAACACCTGTATGATTAATTTTTGTTTACTGCTGGATATGTGGTGATTTGGGTATACCACATTTGATTTCTGGTGGGGGGGTGGTTTTTTGAAAACTGGGTTTTAAACGTTCTTCTATTTTTAACGTGTGGTTTTTTCCGATATCTGGGTTCTAAAAGAAATCTTTGGAATTAAGAGAAAAACAAGCTGAAAAGGAAGAAAAGCAGAAAACAAAGAAAATAGAAACAAGTGCAGAAAAGTTGCGTAAGCTCTTAAAAGAGGAGAAAAGGTAAACTGTAACATTCAGTATTTTTTTACTTAAAGCAACTACTGAGTTGAACCACAGTGCCATGTAGAGGTAAAGTAAGTAAAAATATAAAAGTACTTCAAATCATAATCAGTTATTCTTAGCAATTAAGAGTACCAGAAATTTTTCTGAGAGATTAAAGAAAGTGGAATTGTAAGGCTAGAAATCTGAGGGTAAAAAATAATTACTGTAACCTTAAATTTAAAATATATAATGTTATTTTAATTATCTGTATTTTAGGGAGAAATGTTTTAGAAATAAAGCAGTGGTCTCAACTGGGGGCAGTTTTGTCCAAGGGACATTTCTGGTTGTCATACTGGTGGAGTGCTATTGGCATCTAGTGGGCAGAGCGGGTGCTGCTAGACACCCTATAGTGGTGTTGTAGGACCCCTCCACCCCCGCACTGCCAGCCTACACTTCCAACAAAATGTCAGTAGTGTTGAGGTAGAGAGATTATCTATGCTCTAGAGGTAGTCAGAAATAAAATTTTAATTCCTTTATGTGTTCAGCGGGTCTTGTTTTTAAGGTAATGTTGGAAATGTCACTGTGTGTAACAGAAATGGATTTGCTTAGAGTGACAACTGTCTACACAAGTATTTTTTTTTCCAAAGTACCGCTTGCTGGTACAAGTGGATCTGACAGTAACTAAGATTACTATAATTGCTTATCTAAGCCACAGCTTTTATGACATCTTTAAGGGGAACAAAAAAGAACTAAAAGCTTTATGGATAATTAAGAAACATTTTTGTACTTAACATCTGATGAATTAAATACTTTTTTAGGCTAAAGAAAAAAAGAAGAAAGTCAACTTCTTCCTCTTCAAGTGTTTCTTCTGGTGATGAATCAGTTTCTTCTTCTTCATCCTCCTCCTCTTCTGGTCACAAAAAGCATAAGAAACATAGGAGGAATCGTTCAGAGTCTTCTCGAAATTCCAAAAGGCATTCAGCTAAGGCATCCTCAAATCAGATAGATCAGAATAGGAAAGATGAGTACTTCCCAGTTCCAGCCAATACTTCAGCATCTTTTCTTAACCAAAGACAAGAAGTGGAAAAACTACTGGAAAAGCAAGATAGGGTACCATATCAGAAGAAGCAGGTAAAAGAGAAAGATAGATGCCCTGTCTCTTCATCTTCAGTTGAAATTCCGGATGATTTTGGAGGTAGGTCTGAAGAGTCAAGAGACTTTTACAATAGCTATAAAACTCAGGCAGGTAGTAGCAAAACAGAAAAGTCCTATAGATATGAAAGACATTTTTCCAATAGAAGGGATTCCTCAGATTCCTTCTCTAGGAATCCAGAAGACAAGTTAAAAAATTATGGTTATAGAAAATTTGAAAAAGACTCAGATGGAAGAAAAGAGCACTATAGAAAGTGGGAGCCAGGTTCCATGAGGTATTCCACTTCCCCAGCAAGCTCTGACTACTCTTCTAAGTCAGTTGAAAAATATAAAAAATGTAATTATTCTGGATCACGTGATTTCAATAGACATGAGCAAAGATATCAATTAAGTAAAAGTCATCGAGAATATGAAAGAGAGGATAATTATGAGGAGAGTATTAAACCAGAGGCTTCAGAAGAAGAGCTAAGTAGCACGGAGCATTCAGAAAGTGGAGCTAAAAAAAACTTACCTCAAAATTTACTCAATATATTTAATCAGATAGCTGCATTTGAGAAAGAAAAAGGAAATAAGCAAAAAAAGTAATATGCAAGGGAATCAGCACTGTTTTTTACTAAAGGCTGTTAATAAAAGTTTTAGTTCTTAATCGTAACAGTCCAGTGCAGAAATCTCTACTCCTAAAGTTATTTTATTTGTAGAGATTGCAGGAATCAAATGCTTTTTTTTAAGAGCTTTACATTCATTATCTCATTTAATCTTCATAACGATTTTTTTTTTCAGCAAATGCTTTCAACCTATTCTTAAATTATATCTTTTAGTTGTAGGTCCCCTTTCACAGCTTGATTTGTAGACTTCATATGTATGTTTATGTACAGTATTCCTTACTGTTTGAAACTTCAGTTAAAGATAATTCTCAAAGTATTGTTTCTTCATTGTATTATGGGGTATGAGAATTCCTTGGGTCTCCCTTATCCTGCTATTTGAGAGAAAATTAAATTTGTGCACTGAACACCTGGGTTTTTTCATCAAAAATTATTTCTTTCTCTGTTCTGTTATATTAAAAGCCCTCAACTTTTGAAAGAGATATGTTCTTTAACTACTATTTTATATTTTATCATTTGTTTAAATTTTTACATAACTGTTGTTTTAAAATGATAGGCAGATCATCTGTCTTGTCTAATTGGCCTCTAAAGCGTGATTCAAGTAAAAGAGACTTATGTACCAGCTTAACAAGTACCTTAGGAATAAAGCCATGAACATTAAATAGGGACCCATTTTACTTATTTTTTTCTATCTGTCTGTCTATCTACATACCTTATTGCTTAGCAGTATAGCCCTAAGAAATTTTTTAACTTCAAGTATTGTCAAGACTTTAGAGGCTACGTTCCAGGCAAGAATAGATCAGTGACTAGAGAAGTATAGTATAAATCTGGTTTTCTCTAGAAAGAAATTAGGAAACTCCTAGTATTGCAGATGTTTTGGAACATGGCACATTTTTAAATAGTCTAGAGCTGGCCTGCCGTTCTGTTTTTCTTCCTTGATACCTCCTCTCCCCTGATGCTTTCCCAGATGCCTCTTTCCTCAGGGTCTGAATAAAACTAGGCCAACAGAGCCCGGTTTTACTCAGAATAAATCCCAGGAATTAGAGCTGAAGAAGGGACTTGGATTATAAGGGTCCTCCCCAAATTATTGGAAACAGTATAGTTTATTATTAGGGAGATAGAGATAGGACTCATAGTGTTGCGCTTATAATGGCCTTTAGAGTCTTTCCAATTTAAGCTCTGTGCGTGATGGGGGAGCTCCTCAACCCCCTGATCGGCCCTGCTCTGTGTGTGACAGGGTATGGAGCCCCAACCCCCCTGATGGGCCCTGCTCTGTGCATGACAGGGGGCAGCGCACAAACCCCCTGATCGGCCCTGCTCTGTGCGTGACGGGGTGGCACCGCAACTTCCCTATCGACCCTGTCTTGAGTGTGACGGGGCGGTGCCCCAACCCCCAAATCAGCCGTACCCTGAGCGTGACTAGGGGTGGCATCGCAACCTCCCGATCCACCCTGCTGTGTGCATGACGGGGCGACACCCCAATTCCCCAATTGGCCCTGCTCTGAGCCCGACCAGGGGCTGCACCTAGGGATTGGGCCTGCCCTCTGCCACCCGGGAACAGGCCTAAGCCAGCAGGTCATTATCCCCTGAGGGGTCCCAGACTGCGAGAGGGCACAGGCTGGGCTGAGGGACCCCCCCCCTCCCCCTCCCGAGTGCACAAATTTTTGTGCACCGGGCCTCTAGTCTACACTAATAAAAGAGAAACATGCAAATTGGTGTCACTCCGCTACCCTTCCCATTGGCTAATCAGGGCGATATGCAAATTAACTGCCAGCCAAGATGGCAGCCAGCAGCCAGGCAGCTTGAAGCGAACAGGAGGCTTGCTTGCTTCAGTGACGGAGGACTCCAACATTCCCCGCCTGCTGCTTCCGGCCTCTGAACTTGCCTTTTGAAACATTGTTACAAATATAGAAGCTAAGCAAAACCCCAGAAACCTGCTTTCAGCCAGCCCAGCCTCAAAGCTGGAGTTGAAACAGTGTTTTGATTGTAGAACCCAAACAAACCAGACACCTGCTTTCAGCAGCTGAGGCCTAAGAGCTGGAGCCAAGTCTCAGCTAAAGCTGGCCCAGAATTTAAAAAAAAAGAAAAAAAGGAGCGGTTGGGAGCTTCACTCACCCGCCAGCCTGAAAACAGCCCTCAGCCCCTCACCCAGACTGGCCAGACACCCCAGTGGGGACCACCACCCTGAAGGGGGTGTGACCAGATGCAAAGAGCCATCATCCCCTCACCCAGGCTGGCCAGGAACCCCAGTGGGGACCCCCACCCTGATCCAGGACACCCTTCAGGGCAAACCAGCCGGCCCCCACTCGTGCACCAGGCCTCTATCCTATATAGTAAAAGGGTAATATGCCTCCCAGCACCGGGATCAGCGGAGCTGCGAGCCCTCCCAGCACCAGGATCAGCGTGACTGGGGGCAGTGCCCAAACCCCCTGATCGCACTGCAGCTCTGTGTGTGATAGGGGGGCGGGGCCACAACTTCCCTATCCGCCCTGCTCTGTTCGTGACAGGGGAAGGGCACCCCAACCCCCGATCAGCCCTGCTCTGTGCCTGATAGGGGGGAGCTCCCCAACCCCCTGATCGCCCTGCGGCTCTGTGTGTGACAGGGTATGGTGCCCCAACCCCCTGATCGGGCCCTGCTTCTGTGTGTGACAGGGTGCGACG